GTGTGGATTTTTCAAATTTGTTCATTGCAGCGAGGTGTGGAAACAATATTGAAGACTGCGTACAATTTTTGGTTTGATGAAACCATCCTTCTTATCCATGTTTTTCTTGTAGTTGTATCTTATTTCTAGCTTTGTGGATACCCGTGAATATTAATGTCTGAATTATTCTATTTGGAACGTTATTATGTCACAAATTTGAAATATTTTTCCTACGTTATCATATGACAACACATTAATAACCGTTGTTCTCTCACTGAAAAATCGAAATGAATCCGTTTTGTTGCGATTTCGCCATCATTTATTTTTTAGGTTATAAATAATATCCAATAACTTTCGTGTTGTAATCTCGTTAATCAGATGTTTTGGATCCTTATAAATGTTGGATTAATCAAGTACATTTTCATTCTTAATTTGCATGTCTATATTTATTGATTATTTTATTTTTATATCGTGAAAAACCCCAACTACTATATATATATATTATTTTTTTTGGTAAACCCTAACTACTATATATTTCAGATGCATTAACTTGGTAAACTCCGCCTATATGCACGAACTTGCGATATGGGAGATAAATTACTCGTAACTGACGGACGATAAGTGAACAAGTAAAGAGTCGAACCATCAACCTCTCGATATATTGAACATATTCCTTATCTACTCCTTATCTACTCATATATGAGAATTTCTCCATACATTTATATATATAGATTGATTAAATATTGAGGATACCGTAAGTATGTTGTTTTAGAATGTTAATGCTTTGAAATAGGCATCATCGTTTTAAAGGTGTATTTGATTCATAAATAAGACAACATAATTGATCTATTTTTTTCTTCCAACGAAAAATCAAAATTCAATATTGCAGATAATACACAATATTTAAATATTTTTTATGAAAAATATTGTATGCATATAACTTGTTTAGGTACCATTTTCTGTCTGTCCTTTTTCGCCAGCCAAAAGTCTACGGATATAATAAAAGGCCAAAATAGAATTTTGAATAAATGAGGAAAATTTTAGTGAGCAAAGACAAAAATAAAAATAAAACTTAAAATGAATTGTTAAAATAGATTCCATTTATTTTATTTGTCCTTTGTACTTCAATTGCAGGGTGAGGAGACAGAATCTCCCTGGATCTTGTCAATTATGCATGTGATTACAGCTTAATTCTCGAATTCATATTATATAGTTTTATCATTATCTGTTTATATATCAAAATCGCATATTATTGGTAAATAATCACAATGATTAAAAATTATCCTTTACAAAAAAATCAAAATGATTAAAAAAACACTATAGTTACCGATTAACATTGATATAAAATAATTGGTATTAAGATCCATTGTATATATTAATACCATTTATAGATCGAGTTTAGATTTTGAGTTTTGCGACTTTAAATTTGGATAAATACAAATACCCGATATAATTGCATAAATATCATTTGTATTTATTAAAAATTATGAAACTTTTAATATTTTCTAAATTATGTGTAAATTATTCTAATAACCTTTATAATTTAATAATTATAAAATTCTTTACTATTTTTAAAAATTACATAAACTGTCCTCGTAGTTTTAAAAATTACAACAATATAACTAATATTTATAAAAAATAATTTTTTTTAATAAAATATGATACCTCTAGGGTATTAGGGGTACCTAATTATGATTCGAATTGAAATGGAGAATATATAGTCACTGTTATACTATATATATATATATATCATTGATTAACAGTAATTATAGATTAAATTAATATTTTTTTAATCAGATATTCATATTATGTTTTTATATTGGTAGATTAATCGGGTTGTAAAACCCAACACTTTGTGTTAAGAAAATAATGTATAGACCAATTGCAATATTTTTTAAAAACAGTGGCTATTTGTTTCAAAAATGAAAAACATTGGTTAATCACATTCATGTTCGAAAATGTTGAACATGAATGAAACCGAAAACCCTACATATTTACGTACGTATAAACAGATACATACGCTCCCTCCTCGTATGTCATACAGTACATATATATATACACACACGCACAACACGAGTACATGTTCAAACATGCATACACTTGTATATACGTATGAAACTATGTACTTTCATATGTTCATAGATAGAATCATAAATTAGTTGGTTCCTCGTATCCCGTGACGTGACTCATAGCATTTCGATCGCACAGTGTAAGCAGAAGTAATTAATAAGTTAACCAATAATATTAATTTTTCTTACAACGTTAGCCGACCACATATGGATGAATGTCATATTATATATTTGATCACACGTGGAATTTCTCGATTTTAAATGTGGACCGACGATTAATTAAATTCTTGACTCTTCATTCCTAGGAAGAGTGCCCCATCGTAAAATTTATCCAATTTAACAAGCCATCTTGGTTTTTTTATTTTTGAATTTAACAAATTATTCTTCGTAATTTAAGCATTAACGATTGAGACAATAAATATGTTTCTCATTCGAAAGCCACATTCAGTGATTTATTTAGACATAATTATTAATATATTTGCTGATGTCATTATATGATAATATTTTTTTATTATATTCTTCTATGTTTATCCTACGTAAATCAGAAATATTTTGCATTACCTATGCATTATCATAGCTTAGGTAATTACATTTAATACATGAAACAGTCCTTCCCCATATTAAAATACATATCAAATTTAATACATGAAACAGTACTTCTATGTGTATTAACTAAACTTATTAAAGATCTATATCTACATAAAATTACTTATATTAAAGATATTTTCATCTATGATAGAAGATATATATATATATATATATATAGTAATTCATATACAAAATCTTCACGAATTTAAACCGATTTATTACTAAATGTGTTCCTTGTAAACCCGACTATTAGTTGCTCTTTCTATCAAATTTGAATTGTATAATTACCATATAAAAAAAATTGAATTGTATAATTATTTGGCGATGAAAATTTTAGTTTAAATGTTTTTACTACATAGTTTAATAAATATACATACAAGTAGATGCGGTTCCTAAAAATCAGTACATATATATGTGACAAGGTCCAATGTATCTTTTTAGAAATATGTATATGTTCACAGTCCAATGCAATGATGTCATGAAATTGAATAATTAATATCGTGAAATACAACAGCTGATATAGACGGTGCAATGACAACAGAATCATTTGATAGTAACTTCCTAATTTCCACGTGGAATTTGTTATCTGAATCTTGGACCGAAGATGTAGCAATAAATTTATACGAAAAACACTTGAAGTGTATGAAGTGGAATTTCACTTTGGGTGCATTGTAGAGTCGAAATATATAAATTATTTCGGTGCCCCTTGGGATACTTAAAAAAGGGATATTCCCGTATCTTATTTATAACATTTTAATGGATACGAATCTCTAACTAGTACAAACTCCTTGTCTCACTATATATTTAATTAATCAAATTACCTCACACATAATATATATATATATATATATATATATATAATGCAATTTCTTTTTTAATAAAATTTAAATTATTTTAAAATACAGTAATTTATAGGTTTTCAACAAATATAAAAATTGAGGTTTTATATGTGTATGTGTTCAGCAAACTCTCTCTTTGTTAAATAAAATAATAATAATGTCAACGCCTTTTGTTTCAAATATAATTCAGTGGACTATCTTTTTGCTGCATGAAATCGAATATATAATTACAGGAAAATTTTATAATATGATCGAAACATATAAAACGAGAATAATTTTATATATAGGACAAATTTTAATATTTATTTTGCATTTTTGCTAAATCAGTGCAAACAAATTGATGATCTTTAGATGCAAATAAATAAAATATTAAGGGTAAAAAATACGACGCATACATATTATAGTATGTCCATGATTCAAGCAACATGTTATTATGCTATCATTCCGATGATAATTTGTAATTAACCGTTTATGATATCTAAATAAAATATTTACATATGTAACATCGTGCTTTGTGTAATATTCTTATGTTTATATTATTTATGCTTCACATTAAAAAAATGTTTATGTTATTTTTGTTTAACCCGAATATTTGTTTACATAAACTTTATGACTTCCTCCTAAAGCTCCTCCTCATGTATGGAATTTGCTTAAAGAATCATTCATATAACTGTTGGAAATAATCATAATTACAAAATATTAAAAAATTTAAAAACTAACAAATATAATGCTAACATTGATTTTATACTAATAATGAGTGTTTAAGTTTTCAAAGATGGATTAAAATTGAGATTAATTTACAGTTTTCATTGTTTAGTTGCAAGCTCTAGAAAAATCAGTACAAGCTCTGTCTAGAAATGTCTTTCACATTTATATATATAATTTTAATTACAATATACCCGTGTATAATAATTAACATTGAATAATGTATTAATTATACGCAAAACAACATTAAATATATAATTTGTTTGACAGTGTATGAGATTGGGAAATAGTCCGCAAACGCATATTTGCTAAAAGGGACAAACAATGTGCTAAATCTCTCCTCTCTTTTTTTTTTTTTTTTGTGGTCGTATAAATTATTATTGACCTAATGTAACGCAACCAATGTGAGATGATAAATTAAATTTTAGAAATAAAGGCGTGGCATTGATATCAAGTAGCCGTTTATGGGTAAACGAAACTCTTTTTCATAATTTTGATACATGATTCAAATGATTTCATATTTGATTAATTTTAATTTTAAAAAATAAGTATAGCTATTTGCTTAAAGCATAATTGAATACAGTTATATATTATGTTTTCAGATTTTTTTATTATTATTATATAGTCAAACCCCAGGCAGATACATGTTGGCTCCCCCTGTTTTCCAGTGGGATTCTTCAAAGGAGCCGAGGTTTGTTGATTCCTTACAATTTCATGACAGAGAGATTTGATAACTTATAATTTACTAATATTTTAAATTTGAATTAAGGACGGATAGTGGCTTTTTCATTTACAGCGACAAAAAAAATCGCATAGAGAATTGATCTAAGAATGGCAAAATAATTTGATACAACATATTGGCTCCACATGCATTTTTTTATAACAAAGAATTTTTCTCTGTTTTCAAATAATTTTCCTATGATATGTACAAATAATAATCTTCCAAAATTCCCCCCAAAAGGTAAAAAAAGAAAGAAAGCATCAAATCAAACAGATAAACATTCAGTAGGACCATCTCTATTCACTTTCCCCTCTTCCACATCGCCGCCGCCAGCCGCCGTGAGCTCCTTCGCCCTCTCGGCCTCCACGTGCCAATCCGTACGGCACGTGACCAGCATCATGGCCACCACGCACGAGCTCTGTGCAGCCAACATCCCAAGCCACAGTCCTATGAAACCGAAGCCAAGACCGAACGACATAGCCACCGCGACCGGAATCCCCACCGCGTAGAATGCGACCAGGTTGACGTTAGCTCCGACCTTCGGCCTGGCCGTTCCCCTCAACACGCCGCAACCTGTGGTCTGAGGGCAGTTCCCGAGCTCGCAAAGGCCGATGATAGGGAGAGCGATCGAGGTCAACGTGATGATCTCTTCGTCTTCTGTGAAGAGCTTTGCCCATATGTTCCTGACCGAGAACGTGAACGACAAAGCTGTGAATCCGAGGAAGAAGCTGATTCCGAGGCCAACAATGGCGGCTCTTCTTGCTTTGTCGGGCTGGTTGGAGCCCAGTTCGTTACCGACGCGAGTGGAGACGCCGAAGCTGAGAGAAGAAGGGAAAATGTAGATGAGGGCAGTTGTCTGGATGAGAATCCCCATGGAAGCAACGGTGGATTTAGGGTTTAAGAGAAACCCACAAAGCAATATCATGATCTCGTAGCACCACCACTCGAGGCACACCGATAGGCAACTGGGTATTGCTAGGGTTAGAAGCTTTCTCCATCCCGCGGAAGAATCATCGGAGAAACCACTGAAAGTCTCCTCCTTTACGGCTTTGTTGGAGAAGATAACGTGGAGGAGAAGCAGCAAGACGATGTTGAAGTTGGTCCACACGCCGGCTAAGGCCACGCCTTTGCTCCCCAGTTGGAGGTAAGACACGAGGAAGAAGTTGATGGGCACGTGAAGAACGACCCCGACAGCCGCGCAGATGGATAAAGGAAGCGTCTTGGCCTGAGTTCGGAGATAAGCCCTCAAAGGGTGCAAGAAAGATTGGGCCAAGAGGTCAGGAATCGAGTAAACGAGAAACACTTGAGCCTCAGAGGCAAGAGCCACGTCTTGACCCAAGAACTGGAGGATGGCCTTGATGTTGAACCAGAGGAGAGAAATGGGGAGGGAGGCGAGGAGGAGAAGGAGGATGGTGCGACGGAGAGCAAGGTCGAGTAGGCTATGGCGTTTGGCGCCAAAAGCTTGGGAACAGATGGGTTCCATTCCCATGGCTAAACCGGAGAGAACAGAGTAACCGGTGATGTTGGCGAAGCCGAGGGCGAGGGAGCCGCCGGCGAGGGCGGAGTCGCCGAGACGGCCGAGGAAGAGAGTGGAGACTAAGGAACGAGAGTAGAGGAGAAGACCCGTCAGGACCATCGGGACAGAGATCTTGGCAATGGCGATTGCTTCTTTGATCTCGAGAGCGAAGCCATTGTTGACAGAAACAGAGTACTCTTTGACTGTCGTCTGCTCTGTTTTTTGAAGCTTCTTTGAGCTCTTGGGGACGATGAATGGTGTTTCGAGGCTTGGTTCTTCTCTGGATTGATTTGGATGGCACATTTTTTTTTCCTTTTTCTTTTTCCTTTTTGGGAGAGAGAGAGAGAGAGAGAGAGAAGAGAGGGGTTTTGGGATATGGAGAAGGTTCAGGCATTGGCCTTATATAGGAGTGGCAAAAGTGAATAGAAGACACTTCTACGACTTTGATTTTATAATTTCTTTTAAATATACAATTCTTATTTTTGGTGTTGACCCTTTGAAAATTATGGAAATACTGACTTACATATAATAAATTTTTTTGGACACTTGAATCCTTCAGATACATACATACACACATATACATATATATATATATATATATTTAAAAACCCTACTCTTAAACAGGCCAAATAATATAATAATGTTAAAATCACAACCAAGATGAATCTTGATCGTGCCACAAAAAAGAAATATCTTAATTAGGCGAAATAAAATGGAATGTATTTAAGAGAGAAGAATAATGCCAATAAATAATTATAATAATGACAGGCTGCGCAAAATGATAAAAACAGAAACACGATTCACACGCAAAACAAAAACCTCAAGTATTTTTCATAAAATATTTAATAAAAATGCAATAGACGGTTTAAAAGAATCCAAAATAAAATTACATTTTTATTATTCCAATGAAGGAATACCCTTTTTTAGTCTACTTTTCATTCCGCGCATGAGCGTCGCTGCACATAAATACAAAAAAAAAAACAAACTGTACACCACAATCAAATAATAGCATATACATAACATTTATATTTTGATATAATTATATGAACCGGTGGAGAATTAGTCGGTCCATTTAATTAAGCTTCCACTTAGTGTGATTGGATATTTAACATCACAAATTGTCGAATGGCGAAAACAGTAGAAGGAATGGGTCAAATTTTGATGTTAATAAGAAATGGGATTTGAACCTGAAAGGAAAAGTTCTAATTTTGTTTTTCAAAGTCATACATTTACACTGTGTGGCCCCCACACGTTGAACTTCTAGTCAACCAGAAGGTGCCAAGTGGACGAACGAGTGGTTCTACAGACATATAGTGGATAGTTCTATGCAAACAAATATAATTATATCGAAAATAAATTTAATTTTTAAATGCTTTTGTTATAATTTTTAAATTAATATAATCGAATTTCAAAACTAGCAGAAAAATTGAATGAAATAAATAAATATTTTGTTAATGGCATCGAGTACAAATATAATTTAATTCGAATTAAAATGTAGTAAAAATTAAATGTAAATAATTATTAAATTGGAAAATTTCGAAATATTTTTTCTAGTTTTTTTATTTTATTTGAGGACAATGTTGAAGAAGAATACGACCGACTAGTTGCTTGGAACAGGAAACCATAGTCTGAACATATGTGAACATTTATATTACGTTTTTGCAACAAAAATTTAGATACATATATGTGGAAGTACAACTAAATCCACGATGGGTGTGGTTTTAATTCATTCTTTCATTTAAACACGTTATAAATATAAGACGACAACGTTTTAAATTTTTTTTTATAATGATAATAATGATATGTCACGAGAAATTATAGTACGTGCATGTCACGGTAGAATGTCTTTAATTATATTTTGACCCAAACGCCTATGAGATCATAATGTTCTCTAACTCCCACCATTGCCCGAAAGAGATCGATGATCTTTACTAGTGTTTGGGTCAATATGTCGATTTCCAAACCCCAATTTCACTTTAAATTCGAAATCTCCTTCTAATAGTAGCCATGAGAAATACGAGTTTGGTTTTCATTAGTTACGGGGAGTTTTAGAAACCCTAATTTTTGTAAAATTTAAACGAGGAGCTGTTTATTATGTAATCTACACGCATAAGTAGATTCTCCATAATTCTAAATAATATGTTTTTAATAATATATATATACATGCATATGTGTGTGTGTGTGTGTGTGTGTCCATTGCACATGTTGCCTTTTACGTACTTTGCAAAAGTGCTTTGGATAAAATTTATCAAATATCTTTCGGTTGATATATTCTCATGCAAAGGGATTGGTAAATCTAAAGGGTATTGCGGCTCTTACCACGTGTAGGCTTTATTATATATACGAGAATAGGTCCAAAAGAGATTTCATAGTTTGGACCGACCATTTGATACTATTGAAATATTCACTACAAGTTAGATACGATTTGAAAAAGATATAAGCCATGACGTGTAAAAGAAGAGGTTTCATCCCTTATATGGAAAAAAATATTAATATTTACTAAAGTCATTGGACCATAGGATTCGTAACCAAATTCTCGTTCGATTTCGCCAACTTTTTCCATTATTTCCCCAATGAATAGTCAAATTTTACAGTGGAGAATGATAAAATTTCACGTTACATAAAATGTGCTACTTTAAACAGAATAATCAGTTAAGGGTCTCAATATATATACACCCAAAGTGATGATTCAGAACAAAAAACTTCATTGGAGTACTGAATTATTTGTCATTAGGAGCTTGTAAAATTAATAATTTACGATTAATTAAAAGAATACGAGAAAAAAAATCAAACGATTCAATTAAGGTTCAATTAAGGGGTAGGGCCGCATGGGAACACGCTTGTCATTTGTACGGTTTTACCAACAAAACTATTGTATGTATGTATATATACACACACATTATATATCGTATGAGTAGCTCGTCTACGAGAGGATATTAACATCAAATAACTTCGAATATATACGAGCAATTAATGTAATTGCACGAGGAAAAAAGTAACGAGCTAGACATCAAAATGGTTGAACTTTGAAATACAAAAGAAAATGTTATCCGAAATGTTTGATTTAAACCGAAAGTCCAAAAGGATCCTAAATGGCACGAGAACACACACATATATATATATATATATATACAACTATATATATATAGTTATAGTTATAGTTATCACAAAGTCACTTCAACCACAAGAGATTCCATTTCCTATGGATTTCCAAAGATAAATATCGTCCTCCTTTTAGAAAGGATAAAAATGACACGTCGGAGGGCTTTCGTGCCGACAAAAAACACTTTTGCTAATTATATATAGTTTATCAGTAAAACTATACATCATTCCAGATGATGATACTACAAAGAACTTTCTTAATCATGCAATTATGGCAGATATTTGTTACTAGTATCAGTATATTTGTCGTTGGCGGTTCGTGGAATCTACTAACGTGATAAAGAGTTTGCGTTGTGGGGAGAGAGAGAGAGAGAGAGAGAGAGAGAGAGAGAGAGAGAGAGAGAGAGAGAGAGATCGTAGAGTCAAAAGAAGCAAGCGGCGAATGTTGGAGAAAAAGCAACAAAGAAGGGATAATCACAAAACCGTAAAGGGGAGACGACGATCCACATAGATTCTTACGTCATCTAAACGTTGATCATTATACTCGTGCCTTTGTTTTTTCTGACATGCACTATTTGGTTTTTTGGATTTCGGTATGATCAAGATCCAACTGACATTTTGTACTTTTGAATCTTATTATATAATAAAATAAAAGCAAAGGTGGTGTGGATGCAATTTGCATATGTGGGGGTTGCGTACTTGACCGTCCTGTCTGAAGAAATGGAACACTATTTCACTACCATTTGTCTAATCCCCAAAATAGCACTCGTGATTCTTCTTCCTAACTTTCTATCATTTCCCCATTTAGTCGACCATAGAAAGCCCATCTCAGATGTTCTTGTAAAGAGAAAATGTAATCGGAGATCCGTCTATTCATCAAAATAAATATGACTTTACCAATAATGGAACCAAACTCGGCGATTATATCTCAAGCATAGGGTAGGGTAAATTAGAACAATGACCTTCTTCCCATATCAAACACCGCATGAAAAACTTATCCTAATTTGTAATAATAGCGAATTCACTCCAAACAGCTAAAAGCTTTCAACAGCGTTCAAACGAGAGACAACTAAAAAGCTTCTGGAATGACTACAACACAATGCCTTCCCCCCAACATCCCGCTTCAATCATGACCCCGCCCCCGACGGGCTGCAATATTTAACCGCCATGTCCACACCATTAAGTGATCGGCGTGATACTACTGATATATATATATATATATATATATATATATATGCAATGCAACTTATAAACACGAGGGGGGTTTCGAATTACACGGACCTGTTGTACCTCTCACGGTTGGGGCTTTCCGCACCATCATAGTCCCGACTATCCTTGTGTCCACGGGCTGAGCCAGGGCTCACGACCTGACCGTTCTCGGGACTAGACCTCTCCCTCCGAAACGGGCTCCTGCTATTATTACGGTGTCCGTGCCTAGGACTGCTGTCCCTCTCTCTTCCATATGGGCTGTGGTCCCTGGCATCACCATTCTTGGGGCTGACCTTCTCCCTCTTGTATGGACTGCGGCTGTGAGGGCTACGTTCCCTTTCCCTCCTGCGAGGGCTTTCACTTCCTCTATGGCGGTCGTCCTTCTCCTTGCGTCCATAATCAGGGCTAGGCCTGCGACCACGGCCATAATCAGGGCTGCCTCTTTCCTTCCTGTAAGCACCACCAGGACTAGAGCCCCTGCCATAGTCGGGGCTGCCTCTTTCTCTTCTGTAAGGACTAGGGGATCGCCTTTTCCTGTCAGGTGACCTATCACGACGCCTTTCTGGGCTGTGTCCATTCCCTCTGACATCATCATCCTTCACCGCATACTCCACTGAGATCACCCTATCCATCATCTTACTGCAAAACGTCAGATGAGATGAGAAGGTGATAGCAATTGCATCTACCCATGTCAGAAGAACGATGTTGATGTGTATGCCAGAGTGTCTTGAGCAAGGGAGCAAAATGTAAATGAGACGTGCAAAAAAAAAAAAGAAAAAAAAGAAGAAAAACTAACCTCATATTTGTAGATTCCAGGGCCCTGGTGGCATCCTCTTGCGATTCATATTGTACAAATGCAAAATTCCTTCTGATTCTGAGATTAGCAATTTTACCATATGGCTCAAAGTGCCTCTCCAAATCACGGGTCCTAGTGCTTTCAACATCAAAGTTGATCACAAACAGGGTCTTTGAAGGCCTCATGCCTGATGAAGATCTTCTTGAACCGCCAGATTGTCTAGGACCACCCCGTTCATTCTGCAACAAGAATGTATGCATCTCGGTATATCCATCCTCGTGTCAAGTCAAACTAGAACGCACAGATGATAATGCTTGAAGTCAGTTGCCTAACCTTTGTCCACTCAACACGAAGTCTACGTCCCTTACGACCAAATTCAACACGGTCAAGTGCTCGGATTGCATCTTCAGCATCCCTTTCATCTTCCATATAGACGAAAGCAAACCCTGAGCAGAGCAAAGGAAACATATATGAATATACAAACGACAAAGTAAACGGATGTAAAAGGAGTTCCCAACACGAAGATTGTCCTCTCTCCTCCAACAGAGCATCAGATGACCTCATTGACATTACCTACTCGGATAATTTTGAAACCTTCTTAAAACCTAGAAACTCCACAAACTAAGTGACCAGTGAAGCGGTTACAGACCTTGCATCACGGAATTAATATGTCAAGCAACAACAACTGAAAATGTGGAGGTCTCACGGAATGTCAATGGAAATAGAGTGCTTTCGCCACATTTAATCTGCTGTCTCACGGTGAGGTGTACGTTTTTACCGAGTGACATGGCCAAGAGTGCAAAGTTCATGAGGAATGAAATGCAATAAGGTCGTGAAAATGGGATGGTAGTGCCATTGCAGATGAGTGACTCTTTTTGGGACCAAGGACAAGAAGCTCGTCATTGGCAGGAAATAGATTTCCATACGGTCCATCCATGGCCGGGTGGGAGTAAGGACATCCCAAGAAATATCCTGCGCCAAAGAAAATGTTGAGTATGGGGGGTTTAACGCTAAAAAATACGCGATCTTTCGCTTCTGAAGCATTTTCTGAACTTCCAGTAGGCTGCTTCGCATGTCCAGACAGATGACGTTAGGGATCAAAGAGCGAATTGCTTGACCAGTTCCTCCATGCTTAGATGAGATGCAAAGAACATACTCCCGAAGGAAAGGGCCTTCAAAGCCTTCTTGTGGAAGGAGCAGGAAAGTGAATCTCGTAACATGCATTTGGCTTGCGCTCATTCTTCACATCGTCATGGATCACAAGACTGCTTGCTTAAACTAGACAGGAAAAGAACAAGGATGGCAGAGCAATGAGCAAGACTTACCAGCTTTCATATCCACTCTTTCAACTTTGCCATATTTTCTGAAAAGTCGTTCCAGGTCACTCTCGCGTGCATCATACTCAAAGTTTCCGCAAAAGACAGGCCTCATTTTACCTGCACAAATACCATATAAAAATTACTGCAAGGAAGATCCCGATAAGGTCAGCTCCATGGAATCTCAAACAGATTATAGATGCCAAAAAATTTAATCAGACTCCAACACAAACGAAGAAGACAAGAAAATGTTGGATGTGATAGTCAATGCACTTCCTTTATCGGTTGCTTAACTTCCTTCGTTTATTTATTTATCTATTTTAGTTATAAACCCCTAAGATCGGAAACCATAAACAATTACCAATTCCGAATGACGGCAAACTTCAAAATCAAAACCATCATCAGAGATCGATAATTCATAACTTCCACTTCAACAGCATATCCGGAATCACGAATACACACAAAACGAAACTTGCAAAATCTCAAAGTCTTCATCAAAGTAACCACAGAGAATCGGATCCAGCAAAATCGCAGACTGTAAATCTCGGATCTAAAACAAATCATAAGCAAGGACAAAACAAAAAGAGAAGCAATCAAAGCACAAATCTTTAGCACACAACAACAGCCGCGGTACTCGTTTTCCCCCTAAAAGCCTCAGATTTTCCAAGAGTAAAAAATTCACAAAAGAACTCGCCATCAGAGATCGAATCCATCGGAGATTAAAAAAACTCGTGCCGATTAGTTTCCAGAGATCGAATCCAAGATTCAGAGAACCAAAATAAAACCATTTCTCCATCACAGTACCTGTAACTGGAGGGTAACACGATCGATCGGAGGATTTCACCTGAAAGCTGAAGCCGCCGAAACCCTAGAACAAATTTTCAAGATATTTTTTTTTTCGTTTTCGAGTTTCGGTAGATAAATGACACAGATAACTGTACCTGTCCACCTACAGTACAAAGGAGATATTATTTAGGCTGATAAATGGGCCCCATTATTTACAAGTTATTTCTAAGTTCCCCATTAAGTTTGGATATTTCGGGAAAACCCCAAATCTCTAAAGGGAATTTGATTTTGACCTTACCTAAACGTGGGCCTTTAATGGGCCAAATTTTAGGACGCTAAAATAAAGTTGTTCTTCGGCCCGTGATATCAAATGCTTTGTAATTTTGAGTAGGTACATGATTACTTTTTCAAACAATTCTAGTTTTTTTTTTGTAAGCACCTAGTTTTATTATAAAATTATATATTTATTGATTATATATATATATATATATGTATATATTAATGATAATATAAAATTTGAGTATGTTATATGTTCCATTTTCCCTGAGAGAATAGTATTATTTTCACAAACGTGGTAAGCCATCTGTGTCGAAGGTTAAAAAGGTAATTTCATTGCTGACGTCTAGCTGACGCAACCTTCTTCTTCTTCTTCTCTCTTCCTCGTGTCGGCTGGTCCTAGAGGGAACGGGAAGATCCGAATGCGAAACATGCTTTAGAACCCCTGAAGCTGCTTCGATCAATTGTCTTTCTTGACCACATAAAAAAAAAACCGCCTTTTTTTCTCGAGAGGTTAGTCGCAGTTAGAGGTTGATTTATAGGGTTTATCTTCAATCTACTGCTCTGATCCATGCTCGGATCAGTTTTTTTTTTCGACGACGATGATGCCTTTGGCGGTTGTAGGATAAAAACCCAGTTCTAGATTTTGCGACCCATCTTGTAATTTTTGCCGATTGGTGTTGTAATTAACCGAATCGATGGATTTAGACATGAATGGGGGGAACAAGCGAGTCTACCACAGACTCGGAGGACCGCCAGCGCCATCGGACTCGAAGCAGAAGGTCTGTTTCCATTGGAGGGCCGGACGGTGCAATCGCTTCCCGTGCCCTTATCTACACAGAGAAATCCCGGCGCCGGGTCACGCCACAGCGTCGTCGTCGACGAACAAAAGGGTCGCGGACGAGTCCGGGTTCGCGAGCTCGAGTCACAGGCGAGGTCCTAGGTTTAACGGGAACGGTAATTCATGGGGTAGATTCGGTGGGAGCAGGACGGTGACAAAGACGGAGAAAGTTTGCAAATTTTGGGTTGAAGGGAATTGCCCTTACGGAGAAAAGTGCAGGTACTTGCATAGTTGGAGCATAGGGGATAGTTTCTCTTTGCTGACTCAACTAGACGGGCATCAGAAGGTGCGTGTTGTCGGGAGAATCTTACTGTCGAATTTGGTTTAGTTTTATGTGTTTTTCATGTGATTCTGATGAGTTTGTAATTGTATTGTGATTCTCTTGGAGTGTATAGCTCGTTAGTGCCATTGCTCTGCCATTAGGGTTGGACAAGCTTTACACGGCCAGCCAAGATGAGACCTTGCGGATCTGGGATTGCTCTTCTGGACAGGTCTTGATTTTCCCCTCTATTGCTTATGGATCTCTATTATGTTTTCTTCAACGCTGGTTCTTGTTTGGTTGAGTTTTTGTTCCCTACTGGTAGGCATCCCTCTGTCATATGAATGTTAAGCTTAATTTGTCCGTGTAGAAGGAAAGCTATGGAGAAATCATGTATTTACTCTCCTACGTCTCGATAGATGAGAAATAGATTTCTTTTTTCACTTCAACGATTGCTTGTGTTTGCATGAACGGTGACGAGCAAAGATAAGTTGCTCTGAAAGTAAGGACCTATTTTGATGGCATTTGTGTTTCATCAACCCAACTTTATCTCTTTACCAATTATTTGTCCTTTTTTCTCCATCTGATTCTGCTGAGAAAAAAATGTGGAGAATCTTGATAATGGTCTGATCTGGAAATTAGTTCTTATTGGCTTCACTGGAACCAAAGGATGCACCCTACCCTCTCTTTGTTTGAAAGATCATGTCTTGTGTTATGCATTACTGAATTCAACTCCTTTCTAATACTAAGCATGTTCACTCTTGGCACGTGCTTTCTCATCCAGATGAACTTTCAACGTGTGCTTACCTTACCGTTCTATCTTTGTTTGTCCCTTAATTTAGTGCACCGGTGTAGTCAATCTCGGTGGAGAAGTTGGCTGCATGATTAGTGAAGGCCCATGGCTATTGGTTGGCATGCCAAATCTTGTAAAGGTAAGTTCGGAATATAATTTGGTAGTGTATCTCCTTGCCTGATGATTTTTCTTCATGGATATCAAGAACAAGTTTTACTGGTCTGTGCTCTTGGGTTTATAGCACTGTTCTTGATGCCTATCTTCAGGCATGGAACATTCAAAACAATTCAGACCAGAGTCTGACTGGACCTGTTGGCCAAGTATACTCACTGGTTGTCGGTAATGATCTGCTGTTCGCTGGTACACAGGTGAATCTTTTAGATGATTGGTCTTTTCTTTGTTCCCTTGGAATAGGAAGTTTTACTTTAGTGTCACTTGTACATAATGTTTGCTTTCAGAATATAATTATACAACTTTTTGCTTGAAACCCTGAGAATGGTATTAATTGAAATTTTAAATCCTTCAGGCTTTTGGTCGGAAAACTAAGTGCTGCTGATATGGTTATTTCACCGATTTTGCAGGATGGATCTATTTTGGCTTGGAGATATAATACTATCACTAACAGTTTTGATCCTGTTGCCTCGCTTAAAGGCCACACACGGGCAGTTGTTTCCTTATATGTCGGAGGAAATAGACTTTATTCGGGTTCCATGGACAATTCTATAAAAGTAAGTAGCGTTTCTTACCAATCTAGAATTAGAACTCCCATTTCTGCTTCGGTTTGAGCTTATAACGATTTCGCTTTCTAATGTTTCTTTTCAAAAGGTATGGAGTCTCGATAATCTTCAATGTATACAAACGCTTACAGAGCATAACTCTGTTGTAATGTCCCTCATCTGCTGGGATCAATTTCTCCTGTCTTGTTCATTGGACAACACGGTCAAGGTTTGTATTTTTCCCTCTTTTTCGCCTTTCTCGAGCTTAATTCATGTTCCCACAGTATCTTTGGATGATATTATTACAGATTTTATGCTTTTCATGATTAGGTTTGGGTTGCTACTGAAGGTGGAAACTTGGAAGTGACGTATACTCACAACGAAGAACATGTACGGTTCATTAATTTTTATATAAAGTTAACTTACCCGCTTTCTTGATTATCTCTTAATTAACTAACGGATCTTCTCGACTATCGATTGATTCAGGGTGTTCTAGCTCTCTGTGGCATGCATGATGCAGAAGCCAAGCCAGTATTGCTGTGCTCATGCAACGACAATTCCTTACGCCTCTATGACTTGCCTTCGTAAGTCATCCGGCCCGGTTGTCTTCTGAATCTAACACCGTGTCTCATGTTCAAAAGTTTGACGTTCGTCCTTCCTCCCCTCATGCCTGTTAGGTTTGCGGAAAGGGGCAAAATTTTTGCGAAAGAAGAGATAAGATCGATCGAGATAGGTCCAGGGGGCTTGTTCTTCACTGGTGATGGAAGTGGTCAAGTTAAAGTATGGAAATGGAAGACTGACCCAACAGCCACTTCTTCTTGAGCTTGTGAAGCAAATGAGTAGTAGTTTTGTCCTCATTGTTTCTCCTTCGGTAATTATAGATTTGCAGGAAGAACCGAGGATTCGAGATACCGGAAAGATTTTTTTTCGTTCTTTCGACTTTCCCGAGGCCTTTAGTCCATTGAATAAAATGCTCTGATGCTCATCGAGAGAGAGAGAGAGAGAGAGAGAGAGAGAGAGAGAGAGAGAGAGAGAGAGAGAGAGAGATTATAGATTTGCAGGAAGAACCGAGGATTCGAGATACCGGAAAGATTTTTTTTCGTTCTTTCGACTTTCCCGAGGCCTTTAGTCCATTGAATAAAATGCTCTGATGCTCATCGAGAGAGAGAGAGAGAGAGAGAGAGAGAGAGAGAGAGAGTTGTAACACAGGTGTGATTGGGAAGAGAAGACTGGAGAAAACTCGTGTCATGATAGATGGGTGTATGAGATTTTTCTTTTGAGACATAGTGGGTCTGATGAAATTCAAGATCCTCATAACTCCTCATGAGGATTGAGGATTGTTCATGGGATGATGATTACAATACTTGTCTTGTGCCTTGGCATTTTCAGGTGTATTGGTTTTGAGAATTTGTAGCCTTTGAATCGTGTGATTTTGTGTAAAAATGGTAGTTGTAACTCTAAATTTCTAAATTTGTGTGCTTCAATGCAAATTCTCAAGAGTTTAGTCAAGAAAATGGGTCCTTATCTAAAGATTTTGAGATTCAGAGAAAAACGCAATGCACATTACAAATCCTCACAATGATGTTCCCTGTCATGTCGGCTGTGATATTAATCTTCCCACAATTGAGGAACTCAAAAGAAACAGTTGCAATGAGTTCTTGTCCTAAACCAAAGCAAACACCATATCCCATCACCATGTGTTTCACAACTCAAATTCACAATTTCAGATTAAAAAGCTGTATCCTCTTGTGATCTGACATGTAAGAAAATCGATGAGTCAGTTTTTACGTAAATATTATTACTTCGAATTATCTCTGGTCTATATGAGAATCTAATATGGAATTTATGGAAGTGACATGGGACAAACTGCGCCATGTAATGTAATCTTCGTCTTTCATCATCATATCGGAATATTCCCCTCCGCCAAGGACGCCGTCCCAAATGCGGTTGGCGTTTTGATCGCTGCTATTGTTCTTCTCTTCCTCTGGAAAACATCGGCGATTGCATTTGGATCCGCACGGTGGAAAATTGCTGAGAAAATTCGCTTTCGCCATGGATGAAGAGAGGGTTTCCATGTCTGCTTCTCAAGATTTAAACTTGTTGGGTTATTCTTCATCCAATAGAAAGTTTCCAACATCTGACAAGCAGAAACACTGGATTCAGATTAAGAACAAACGGTTGATAGATGCGGATAAATTCAAAGGTCAGCTGTAATCTTTGATAAAACCCAGCACAATCATATCACAGTTTGACGTACTCGTATTTTTCACAATTTTTCAAATTATAGAAATCATGTTATGATAATAAAAAAAAAGCTTTTTTTTTGTGTGGAGGCAAGATTTACCGTATCGGATTAGGGTGCTAACGTAAACAGAGCGTTCTCTCTCCACGGGGACCCAAGAGACAAGTTCCTGTAGTAACATCAGAACCGTTGGAATAGTGTTGCAACAAAGGAAACTGTAGTAACAGTTAAACCCTGTTTGTTTCAGGTGAAACACAATGTGGGAATTCAACAAAGTTTGGAACTTACCTGAACTTCTAATGAAACTGAAGAATCTATAGTTCCTTCAAAATCAGATTCGGAATCTCGGAAAGTTTCTGCTAATACTATTTTTTCTCCAGGAAAGGCAGTACTCATGTAAGAAAATCCTGAATAGAGTATATACTACTAATCAAGGTGTTTCTCCTTCAATGGAACTGAGTCCGGTCGGCTTCTTGACGTTGAATTTCGCCATTGTTTCCCTCGCGTTGGTGGCATCATCCCACCGATTAGAACTTGCATAAACATTTGAGAAGAGAAGATAATTCCCACTGTTAGATGGATCCGATTCACTGAGCTTCTTCATCACGACCTCGGCCAAATGAATGTTTCCATGAAGTTTACAAGCACTCAACAATATCCTCCACAACACAACGTCCGGTTCCTCCGGCATTGCATTTATAAAGTCATATGCCTTATCTAAATGCCCAGATCGGCCCAACAGATCAACGATACACCCGTAATGTTTCATCCCCGGATTTACTCCATGGATGCTTTTCATACCCTCGAAAAATTCCAGACCTTTATCCACCAGACCAGCATGAGTACACGCAAGGAAGATTCCCACAAATGTCCCAGAATTTGGTTTCACGTTTTCGTCAAACATTCTGTAAAAGAGATCAAATGCGGAACTAGCAAAGCCATTTACTGCTAAACCTGAAATGATCGAGTTCCAAGAAACCAAATCTTTTTCTTTCATCTCATCGAAAACCGCCATTGCTTTCCCAACGTCCCCACATTTGCAGTACATGTCAATGAGGGCATTTCCTACATAGATATCGAGTTTCAAATCATGTGTACGAATATATTTGTGAATTGCTTGACCGGTGTCGAGCGAGCCCAAGTGAGCACATGCTGGAAGAACACTAGCCACAGTGATTTCGTCTGGTTTCACCTTAGCTTTCACCATTTCTTGAAAAAGCTTCACAGCATCAGCAAAGTGACCAGTTTGACAATAACCCGTGATAATCGATGTCCAAGAAATCACATCCCTTCTAGGCATTTGATCAAACAACTTTCTTGCTCCCTCTAGATTCCCTGTTTTTGCATACCCATTGATCATAGCATTCCAAGATACTGTATTAGTTTCTTTCATGGAGTCTAAGATTTTCCGTGCCAATTCTGCTGAAACT